GTCCGTGCAGCTCTGGAGCAGCGGTGCGGCACAGCACAGCTCTGTCTGTGTGACAACAGCTCAGGATGGAAAGCCCCGGCTGCTGCTGAGCTCCTACAGGCCACAAAGTAAACACACACGAAACATCTTGACCAGAAATCCACGCAGGTGCTCGAGAAAAGCCAAAAATATTCAGCTCTGCATGGCTATCGCCAACCGCAGGGGCAGAGGCAGGGTCTGAACCTCAGCTGGACCTGCATCGCCGAGAGGGCAGCAGCCCAAGTAGGTAGGTGTAGTGGAAAAATGAATATAGGGCAGAAAGGTCAAAAACCAGTGCGGTCAGACCCATGTAGGACTCAAGCTATAAGAGAGCTGGCCCAAAATCAGAGGTGTCCAGAGCTGGCCCCCTCTGCAGCTATGAGAACTGAAGTTCAACTCCTGAGCAGTTACATTTCTCCTTCAAACAAACAAAAAAAAAAAAAGATAAGAAAATTGCATCAACCTCTATCTGAGCAACCATGGCAACTTGTTAAATTAGGTCAAGATGTGGGGGCAGATAAGGCAGCTTTGAGGAGCTGCTCGCGAGCGGGGCGAAGAGCACATCAAACGCAAGTGGCGCTTCCGCCAAAATGCACCTTCCCACCAAAGCATGCGCCTCCTCGGGCAGATACCATCAGAGATCCGCTGCCACCTCCCCGGGCCACCAACAAAACAGGCCCTTGGTAACAAAACCTGCACAGCGTTGTCACAGTCTTCAAGTCAACCCAAAGAGCCCTGGAGATAGAGGATGTGATCTCCTGGGCTTCGCCTTTCCAGAGCTAAAAGTGCACACCAGGGTGGGTGCTCTGCTGGTTGGTGACCGGTGTGGGAGGCATCGTCTGGGTGAGAAGGGTCCTGGTTGCTTTGGGACCCTGCTCTGCTCGTTTGGAGGCTCCACCTCCTCACCAGAGCTGCAAACAGAGACTTCAAGTTCCTCCGCTTAGCTGCTAGACAGCACTTCCTCCCTCGAGTAAAGTACAAGTAACGTGAAGCAAAGCTGAAAAAGGAGGACCTAGGAGTTAGGCCTGAGAGTTCCCGCACTCCTCGCTCAGTTGGCCCAAAAGGGAAGCCCAGCCTGGCTTCTTTTTTTTTTTGCAGAAATACACAAATACGAAGCAATTTTAGAGGGCCCTGCTCTCCTATGGTTTATGATGTGATGTGTTCTCACTCGCTCTCGCTGTGACTGCGTTCTCACCAACCTGCCTTCGCTTCGCGCCCGTGCTTGGATTCCCTTGCCATGGCAAACGTGAGGTGCTGGTGGGCTTTAAAAAAGGATGGGGGGCATCTCTAGAGTCACACGCCTGCAAAATTCACCTCTCCAAAGACCTTTCCCAACGGTGAATGCAGGCTGTGGTGGTCTGAGCACTGTATTATTGCTTAGCAGGCTTCGGAGCAAGCAAGCATCACTCCAGTCCAAGGATTTCCAAGCTTCTGCTGAAGCAGAAAACAAAACCTCTGACATGAGCTACAGCAAACGTGGGAGGAAGCATCCAGCTTGAGAAATACAGCTCCTAGGTTAGCCACTGCCTCTGTGCCTGTTTCCCCAGCTGTTAAAAAGCTCCTGCCCAGGCACTTTTACCCAAAACACTTCCACAGGCCATAGTGAAAGTCACTATTGGGTGAAAATAGGAATAAAAATCACTAGTTGTGTTCTCTGGTCTCTTTTCTTAGGAAAATCAGCTTCTGTGGCACGGTAGAGGTCATGTCCAGGGCCCTCTTGCTGCTCTCCCCACCACATCTCCCCGCTGAAAACCATTCAGGAATAGCAGAGCACGTTGTTATTCTGCATAGACTTGGTCGAAACGGGCTCATTCAGCAGGCAGGGCTGAGCTCTCTTTCTAACTAAAGCTATAGCAACAAACCACTTCCTTTTTTACACATAGCTCCTAAAATTATCTCTCCACCTTTCCTCCCCTCTGTATCTCTCCCCCACTCTTACAAAAAAAAAACCACCCCAGCTATCGGCCCTAAGATGAGTGGTGCGTGGGAGGAGATTTCAGGGACAGTCGCACCTCAGGATCTGCTCTGAAGCTTTTGATGATCTTTATCTGCACAAACTATTTCCACCGCCACAGCTGCTCCCAGCTGGGGCAGGAGGCACCAGTAAGTACGAGGGAAAGGGGAACTGGCAGGAGCCAGATTTCACTTACAGTGCAGGGAAACACACGGCACAGAAGGACTGCAAAGGATTATCTCAATTTTAGCTGGAAGCCCCATCTCACCAGGTTTCTCCCCATGGAGATGCCAGATTTTCCATGGTCTATCACCTTCTCCTCTCTCCCAGGGCAGGGAATGGAAAATGTTTGGGTTTGCTTTGGCATCCCCGCCTCGCACCAAGATAAAGAGCAAAACCAAGTTCTCCCTCGGTGCCAAAAGGGGAGAAGATAATTTCACGTCACACACAGCAACGCTGGAAATGAACCCGAGGTGGGAAACCACAAGCAAGCTGCCAGTACATTGCATAAAAGTGTTGGACGGGGAAATGACGACTCTCTATTACCTTATGCACCCAGCAATACGAACCAGACACCAGTTCTGACCGGACCCAAGCAGGAGGCATCCAGGCATGGATGAAAACCCATTAATGAAAACATAACCCATCAAATGTCCTGCGCTCAGCCAGGTCCTGCAGCCTCCGTGAGGTCTGGAGTGCCCGTGCTTGAAGGACACCCCAGGGGCACGCCAAAACCCCTCCTCACAGACCACTGAACCAGCAACATGGATGTTGGGCAACCCAGAGACCCTGGAGTTGGAGAGGAGAGGGATGCTGAGCAGAAAAGTGGTTTCCTGAGGAGCACGACCCTACCTGTGTAG